CACACAACTCAAGCTTATCCTCCTAAGGATCAAAAATGTAGACAGTCATACACAAAAACTGCAGATCCCTGACAGTAGACTCATTAAAACGAAAATAATGAAAACCAAAATTAATGCAAAAGATGAACAGCGTAAGATTGTTTGAAAACAAATTCAAATGAGAGCAATGCATTATTACTCTCAGTATTAACTATTTATTGAAAAGTACATTACTTTTTTATTAGGTCAGCACAATGAACTTGGAGTTTCAGTAGTGAAATAGAAATGTGAGTCAGATTCAACTGATGGTTTCTGTTCTCTATTAGTTTCAGGCCCTCTGATCTCTGGACTTGTAAGGAAAGCAAACAGAAAACAAATGCAGTTAAATATGTTTCCTGGTTACACTGACTGTTTAGATTAACAGTGGGTGTAACCAGTAACTTTGCCTGCAGTGACGTGTTTAAGGTAGTGTCAGTACTGAGTATATAAAACTCGCAGATCTCTATTACTGAGAGGTAAAATGGCTAAGAGAGGAGATCAGCTGAACCGACAGGAATTCTCCTGTTCCATCTGTTTGGATCTACTGAAGAATCCAGTGACTATTCCCTGTGGACACAGCTACTGTATGAACTGCATTAAAGCCCGCTGGGATGGAGAACATCAGAGGAGGATCTATAGCTGCCCTCAATGCAGAGCAACTTTCAGGCAAAGGCCTGCACTATCAAAAAACCTCTTGTTGTCAAAGTTGGTGATGGATCTAAAGAAGACATCAAGACACCAAGCTGCTGTAGTTGATCACCATTATTCTGGACCTGAAGATGTGGCCTGTGATGTCTGCACTGGGAGGAAAAGGAAAGCTGTCAAGTCCTGTTTATCCTGTCCTGCTTCCTACTGTGAGGATCACCTCCAACCTCACTATGATGCTCCACCATTAAAGAAGCACAAGCTGGTGGACCCCTCTAAGAAGCTCCAGGAGAACATCTGCTCTCGTCATGATGAGGTGATGAAGATCTTCTGTCGTACTGATCAGCAGTGTATCTGTTATCTCTGC